TTTTTTTTTTCAAGCTGACTCTACTGCAGGTGTTACGAACCCGCCGTGCTCGAATTGATGTCGAGCCACTACGAGACGAAGCAGCCGCTCTCGCGCGAGCTGATCGACAGGATCGTGAAGAGGTGCGCCATCCTCGCATCCCGCCTGCCGCGCTGACACTCCTCTCCCAGTCGATACGTGAACGTCGGGCTGTATTACCTCCGCCAGGTCTTCTTCGGCAAGTACGACATCAGAGTGCATACCGACAAGGGTGAGTCCCGCTGCGCCCGCGTCCCCCGTCCGCACACGCTCACGCGCCCGCCCCGCAGAGAGCACGGACCACACCGCGCTCTGGAACGACCTCCGCGCGTCGATCACGAAGCTGCACTATGGGCCCCGTGCGCCCGGCCAGGGCTCATTCAACCACATCGCGAGCGGATACGACGCGGGCTACTACGGGTGCGCGCGCCCCCGTCGCCGTCCCCGTTCCGCCGGCTGACCCATGCTGACCCGCCGCCGTGCGCGCAGGTACCTCTACTCGCTCGTGTTTGCGTCCGACATGTACGCGACGGTGTTCAAACAGGACCCGCTCGACCCCGCGCGCGGCGCAAAGTATCGCGCGGCGATCCTCCGGCCGGGCGGCAGCAGGGACGACGACGAGTCGCTCAAGGTGCGTTCTCCCCGTCTCTCTGGGTGCGCGCGCGGTGTGCTGACGCGACACGCGCTGCAGGAGTTCCTGGGGCGGCCACCCAACTCGGAGGCGTTCGTGCGTGAGCTGTTTGGTTCGACCTCGTCGAATCTATGAGCGGGCCCAGCAGCTTGGGTGTGCCATTATGCGCATGCAAGGTCTGTATTCGATTCAGGGAGATTCTTCAGGCTGCGTACTATTGTCCGGATCGGACTGCGGGCTTCATAATGTTACAACAAGCTACGGGGTTACAAAACAATAAAAAAAGTTGACACACATGTGCTTCCAAAGTCCGTGGTCTATTCTCAGTAGACCCTGTAGAGTGATGTAGGAGGAGGAGGAGGCATGTGCAAATCCGGCATGTTGAAACGCTCCCGAAGATCTTGTACGGCCATTTTGGAGCTCTCGCTTAGTTCTCTTGGAGGGAAGGGGCCGTCGTCCTCAGGTGAAGGTGCGAATTTTGCCTTTACTGATGAGGAAGGTGTGGGTGGGGGGGAGCCGTGTGGTATGGCCATCATATCGAAAACGGTCTTTGGTGTTTCGCAGCGGCATACACGCGAGAATGCTCCCGGGGGGTGAGAAAACGGCAAAGACGGCCACGGGTCCCAATTTCCGATCGCCAGGCGTTTCAGGACGACATTGTCTGTATGTTAACGAGGCATCGGTCAGCGTGATTGTAGTAGTAGAAGCGCGGGTTGTAACTTGCCTTTGCATATATATTGAGGTAGCGAATTGGTACCGTGGGCTTCCACCGAGAGGTAAGCCACTCGGTCGTAATTGAACTCATCTTGAGCACTATTGAAAACGATGCCAATTTGGCCTTGCATAGTCAATGCAGCTTCAACATAGAATCCGGCCTCTCCACGCAGAACTAGTGTCCCAGCAGCATCATACGCATATTCGGAGGCTAGACCTGTACCTCCATTCTTTTCGAATGTGGGGTGTGAACAAAATGTCAAGCGGACGGCGTGTGCAAGTTCATGAACAAACACGATTTTAAGGAAAAAAGTCAGGAGACTGGAAATATCTTGTTAGTAAATTAAGTTTATCGTAGAATGTGAGAGATGACTTGACTGGTAGTACGGAAGGGCAGAGAGAGTTTCCCAGTTTGCGCGTCGATGCCATCTTACCCACGATTCAGCGAGATTGCCGTTCAGGCTAATCTCCCGTGGGGTTGATTGCCGGTCGGTCCTCGCAAAGTGATGGGTGATAACCATAGAGCCAGAATCAAGAGGTTGACGGTCCTCAAAAGCGTAGTAATTCTCCGACATTGAGTTTTGTATGTCAACATGAGGGGGATGCGAAAGAAAGTAAATGATAATTTCCATTTTTCGCTTTTCAAACGTAGTGTCATCGATGTCCACTTGCAGTTCCTGTCTATTGTCTGTTGACGTTGCCAGAGAAATCCGGACAAGCGCATTCAACACCCTGGGGCAGCTCAGTGCGTTGCTGAGTCCCTCCCAGAGAATTTTTCGAAGCGGGTGGTCAGCGGCAAGAGAGATTCCGTTGTCAGAGACCAAGAAGTTGAAAGGAATATGACTGATCTTCAGCATTGTTGCGATAGAGGAGCATGTACAGAATGGCTTACAGGGGCAGCTCTGGCAGCCCTGGGGAAGCAAGTGAAATCCAAATAAACACACACAATAAGTATGGGCATACAAACGCAAAACTTGCAATACAAATACATCTCAACCCCTATTGCGCACCGCGCCCTCGGCTGACAGCACCCTACCGCATGGGGCCCTACGCTCCGACCCCGTATGCACAGGTCCGGTAGCCCCGCGACATGCAGGCACACCTGCGCGAAGCTGGTGAGATGGAAAGTTTGGTGCAGGCCGCGAGAGAGTGTACACGCGCAGACGAGGCGCATACCGTCGAGCGTACGGTTCCGAGGGCGGAACGTGTTGGAAGAGTGAGCGTGAGGGCGGTACTGCGGGATAACAGGTGCACGAGATGGATGAGCGGGCGCGGAGGGCGGGCGTACAAGCTTACGTTGACCGCCACGTAGCGGAGTAAGAAAAGGGACAGTATGCCACCCCGCTTCATATGGGCCGGAGGGGTGGTAAAGGCAGGATTCTGGCGGCGAGTGCGAGCTGGTTGAACAAACAGCCAGCGGAGGATGAGGCGCCTATCATCTGGAGGAAAATAGAGCGATGACGAACGTACGACGGTGCAGCCCGTATTCTCACAGGGTGCAGGCTTCCAGTGCAGAGGCCATGGGAGAGACTAGGACCGGGAAGGCGGCTAGATCCGACTGCAGACAAAAAAAAAGTCCGGGCAGATCGTTCTCCCGCGCGAAGCCGCAGAGACGGCGGGGGTCTAGACGCGAATGATGATGGTTAATGACGAGAGGATCCACGCCGGGACAGCGAGGCAGCCACCGCAGACGGGCGCGGGACGAGCGCATCGATGGACGGAGGTGTCGAGTGCGCTGACGGAACGGCGCCGCCAAACAACCCCGGGGCGAGCAGTCTGCCCATCGTGGCGTGCACAGAGGGCGGGTCGAAGCCGCGCGGAACAATGGAGAGACGGTCCCCGAGGGCCACTCCGCCAGTCGTTCGTCTCGACGTCACAAAGGATCTGAGGCGTGCCACGCCACTGCCAAATCCACGGGCATCAAGCCAAAGACGTCCGGTTACTCAACATTATCCACCAGTTTAGCGGGAGATCGTCGTCGTCGTTGTCGTCGCCGTCGGCGTCGGGCATGCTGCCCAGTGAAGCGCATCCATTCACGAGGCTCGAGCACAGCGCGCACCCGCCCGCGTTCCGCCCATCTGCAGATCCGCCTCCCGCGCCGGCGGCAGCGACGCAGCACGATAAATCTCGGCCTGGCTGTCCACTAACTAGTGCCAGATCTGCATGGGCGATTCGTGTCGCAGGTCGTCTTCCCGTCTTTGACGCTACAACGCAGCAGGGCGGCGGTGGTTTGGATGCCGGCGCCACCTCCCACTGACATCTAGCGGCCCGTCTGCCAGCTCGGCCTGGCAGACCGCACTCCTCTCCAAGCATCGGGCGCACGGTGGATCGGGTAGCTACACGCCCGAACTGCGGCGCCGCACCAGACTGAAGCGGACGACGCGCCTCTCGCAGAGAACCACCCGCGGCAGGCCGCCAGCGACGGGCGTAGCCCACAGTGCGTCAGCTAGTGTTGAGATCTGAGAGGTTGGGTGAAATGAGACGCAATAAATAAGAGCGTAAATGGCACGCACGACTGGCCGGCGAGAGCCATTTGCAGATTGTCACAGCAAAGGCAGCAGCATAGACCCATCGCAGACGTCGTGGACCACATGATGCCCGATGTCGGGTGGTGGTGGTGGTGCGCGCGCAAACACAGACACACAGATGCGGGCAGCGCACGCAGTTGATCAGGTACCCGAGCATTAGTCCTGAGCAGCGAGCACCACCAGCCCGCCGCCGGTCGCTAGTGGGCTCTCCATCCATCACGTCGCCTCCGTCTACCGCTCCGTTGGCTCATTGAATCGCGCAGAAATATCGGCAGGGG